ACAGAAAAAAAAGTATTTGAGTCTAACTTTTACTTTCTTACTATAATAGATTTATTAGGTTTAACTTTTTTTTTTTTTACTATAATGGGTTTATTATTACAATAAGCTGTGAAATAATAAAAGTTTTTTAAGTCAGCATTCTTTTATATGAAATAAAATCTAATAATTCAGTCTAACTTTAACTTTCTTACTATAATAGGTTTATTATGTTTAACTTTTATTTTCTTATTATAATGAATTTATTATTACAATAAGCTGTGAAATAATAAAAGTTTTTATGTCATCATTATTTTATATGTAATAAAATCTAATAATTTTAAGGGTTGTGTTTTCTTTCTACTAAGCCAAACATTTTCTTTTAATATTTTTAATGTATGTTTTATCTATCTATAATAATTATTTGGGTCTAATTTTCATTTTTTTTACTATAATGGTGACCGGTGACAAAACTATCCGAATAAATATCATTTGCAAAACATAAATATAATAAATGTCACTTACCCTTACAAGGTTGTGTCGTTTCAAAATTTTTGGTTGCGCCTTTTCATTATAAATGGTTGCTTCTTTTTATTATAAATTGTTGCTTCTTTTCATTATAAATAGATATGTTTTTTCATCACAACTGTTATTTGTGTCTTATCAAAACTATTTATATTGTTCAAAACCACAGAAAAAAATTATTTAGGTCTAATTTTTATTTTCTTACTATAGTGGATTTATTATTACAATAAACTGTGAAATAATAAAAGTTTTTAAGGTCAACATTCTTTTTTATAACATCAAATCTAATAATTCAAGGGTTGTGTTTAGAAAGACTATTTGCATTTTGATAAGTTGTGTGGTTTAAATATTTGTGGGTGCATACTTTCAATATAAATAGTTGTATTTTTTTATTATAAATGATTGCATTTTTTCATTATTAATGGTTGCATTTTTTCCATTAGAGATAATTTTGATCTGTTCGAATTATTTATATAATTCAAATCACATAAAAAACCACTCTATCTATAATAATAATCCAAATAAATGCCACTTTCACTTTAAAAAGTTGTGTCGTTTCATAATTTATGGTTGCATTTTTTCAATATAAATGATTGTGTTTGTCCATCACAACTGTTATTTGTGTCTTTTTATAGCTATTTATATTGCTTAAAACCACTGAAAAAATAATTGGATCTAACTTTTACTTTTTTACTATAATGAGTTTATTATTAAAAAATTGCTTATATATTTACTTTTTGCTTTACACTATTTTGCGAATACAAATTTTTAATAATTATAAAAATAGTTTAAAAATCGCATATTTATATCATATTTTTAGATTGTATATTTTCATATTTAAAAAGTTGTGTATCTTATTTTCTATTAATAATTAGTAGTAACACTTTTTTATCTTAATTAGTTTGTACATTTTTCTTTAGAACTTATTGTTAATAATTAAAAAATATACCTTTTTATTTTAATCATTAAAAATTGTTTAGATGTTTATATTTTTATTATTAATTTCTATTTATTATATTTTACTTATAATTATTTTAAATAAATTTCAATTTAATTTTTCATATATCACAAATTAACCCCGCGAAGCAGGATCCCTTTTCCTAGTTATATTACAAACAAAATGAGTATATATTAATGTTATAAATTTAAATGATGTTTATTTTACTGATTCAAAAAATAATATATTTCAATTTTATTTAATTTTTTGATAATTATATTAATTTTAGTAGTTCTATTTATTTATTTTATGTGTATTTTAAAAAAAAAATCTAAAGTGAGAATTCTTTATTATTGTTTTTTGTTGATGTGGCATAAAAAAGAGTAGTTTTAAGTATTTGATTAAATACTATTTATTTTTAAACATGTTATTCATATATTAAAGAATTGTTTTTATCAGAAAATTGCTGATGTGGCATGATTACAGAGAGTATTTCTTTGCTGATTTGGATGGCTTAAGGAGTCCCAAACAGCTTCTTTGATTTGGTACTAGATGTTGGCCCGCGCAACGGCGCAGACATACGGGTGATGTATTTTTCTATTTATCAAAATTGTTTGACATAAATTTAAAAAACAAAAAAAAAATATTTATAAAAACATATTGTAAAATAGCATTCAGTTAAAAACATACATAAATTTTTGACATCACAAAACAAAACATACATTCGAGCAAGTTATATTAATATGCAACACACAAACTAATAATATTTTGAAAATGTAAACGGAGTAATCGTAATCTCTTTAATAAGACTTGCATTAGATAATAAAGTTTATTGATCTCTCGAACCACACTTCGCTGTCGAAACTTCTTTGTCATATCGTTACTTACAATTAGATCCACAATATGATTAAAGTTAGGATAGCTAATATACAGATTTATCTTGTATATAGTAATATTACCTATCACGAAAATGATGAACATCAGGGAAATCTGTATTTAGAAGAAACTTATAATATTACTTCTTTGCAAGAATATTTATAATGCTTATACGAAAGAATAAAAAAAAAAGATAAGTCACAATACAACACATATCACTTTCCTAAAATGATCAGAAATAGCTTAGTGTACTTTATTAATATCCCACCACCTTAGGACACAGACAACTTCTGTACCGCGATTCTGGTTCCATCGCAAAACAAAATCTTCTGCCATTTTCCTTATTGCATAACATTCAATCACATATTTCCTAGACAACAAAATTTTATAACAATTAAATACACTGACAATAACAATGAGCCCAAAATATATAAGAAAGCCATATATTTTATATAAAGTTTTAATAATATCGCATCCATATTATATAAGAAATCATCAAATCTCACACGATTTTCAAATAAACCAAACCCTAACTCAAAGTTTACTGAATAACAATTCTGTCAATCCACCTACCTAAGCCAAATATAACTAAAACAAAACTTGAAGGTTGGATGGACTTTAATCGTAAGTATAAAGAAGCAAGGTTTTATCTCTACATTGAGTTTCCAACCAAATGGGTTTGGCACCAAAAGATTAAAAAGTGGCATCTTCGTCTATGCGACTGAAAAGTAATGTTTCCTATGATATCAACCTTCCAGGCGTCTTTGAAAAATGCAGTGAGCTATTCTACCTTAAAACGTTGCTAAATATTCGGAGAGGACCAATATGCTTCGAAAAGCTGAGAAAACGTATCTTTCTTGTATGTAGTATTGCGTTCTTTTAGATTCTGGTCTAGTTCTCTCTCTCTCTCTCTCTCTCTCTCTCTCTCTCTCTCTCTCTCTCTCTCTCTCTCTCTCTCTCTCTCTCTCTCTCTCTCTCTCTCTCTCTCTCTCTCTCTCTCTCTCTCTCTCTCTCTCTCTCTCTCTCTCTCTATAGTCACATAATATTTCCTCTTCAAATTGGGTCAATATACATGATCGAAGCGTATTGTTAACAAATCATAATCAAAACTCAAAAGCTCCAAATCTTACTCCTCGTTAGTATAGTATTATTTCGAAAGTTTTTGCTTTGGATCCTTTATCTCCATCTACTTTAAAAACTTTGTCTTTTTTGTAACACAAACAAAATACATAATCACAAAATCATTTTTAATATAAAATTTTAGTTTATTAATTTTTTAGTTTTGATTTATTTTAAGTAGATAAATATTAAAATTTGCTTACCGTCAAAGAATCACATATTTGCCAATGATAATTAGGATTTGTCCAAAAATATTGGCAAATTTAAACCTATAACTAAATCACATAAGATCATTGCAACTTAATATTGGGCTTTGAATCATACGGTATAAAATATAATATAAGTTTTTTTAACTTCAAACTAAAATCAATATTATTAGATAAATATCATTAAAAAAATTAAGTCAATTTATTTAAAAAGTAAAAATTAATATACCACAATAATTTTTAATCATAGCCCAACTTACTTTTCAATTTCTAATGATTTTACAGACATTAGGTACAATACATGAGTTATTTATATACATGTATATCGAGACCTAAAATATTAGGCCTTCATCGTCCATGTATTGTTATATTCTTATCAATATCCTAATTTTTTTAAATATATTAATACTCTAAAACTATCAAAATGTAATAATATTTGAAGTTAATACCAGATAGAATTTGAATACAATATTTTAGTTATTAAAAAAAATTAAAAACCATCTAAAAATTACGGATCTTTTTACTACATACAAAAATTACTTTCCTTACTATAAAATATAATTTAACTCATGAAACACTGTCATCAAAAATTATTATTGTTTACTATACCAAAAACAATCAATATACTTTCGATATCAAACTGCAAATTTAAAATTTTTATCAAAGATACTAATCAATAATAATAACCATCAAAATATACTAACTTAATAATGACTCATAAACATTACATGTAAAATCTAATTGTCCGGGTTTGCTTGATTTTGGTAACGAATGTCGAATACATAAGAACAAATTTATCATAGAACAAAGCTTTACTCTCTAATATCAATGCTAACAAATTTTACTGTAACCAAATCGTTTAAGAAATGACATGTTCCTGTCATATTATTCTTTTTATCTCCTAATTTATCCGCTCATTTGATTAATGACCATGCTAAAACAGTTAGAAAAACTCTCTCATAATCCCGCATTTCTTTTTTCTCCCTAATCACACACCACCATGAAACCATAGATAAGTTAGTGTTCTAATGTCATCTTCTTCTAGAATTTTTTTCTACGTACAAAAAAAAACCCTTCTCAAGCCAAATATTTTTGATATATCACTGTTTTTAACTATGTAAAGAAGTTGCACATATAAATGTAATGAAAAAAACAAAGTAATGAATATTTTAAAAACATAAGTTAACTTAAGAAAAGCTCTTTAAATCATTTTATGTAAACTACATACACATTTAAGATAGATTGTTGCTGCATGATTATTACTTTGCTTTCTCTTAACCCCCTCATTACCACATCATCATTGTCCCTTGCTGCTACAGAAGAAACCTTAATCGTCACTTGTGCCTTTGTAAAGCTCATACGTCTATCTCCACAGTCACGTCCTGTTCTTCATTCTGCATATCGTTGATCAGCTCGGTTGAGGAGACTTTAGGCACCATTGTTACAACCGGGTCTGGTTCGCAGAAGCAGATCAATAAATTAGCTGATCTTGTGCCGAAGCTACAAAAGTTTAAAAACTATAAACCAATACAAAGAAACAAACAAAGACTAAATTTTTTTCTAAAATATCGCAGACTAAAAAAACTAAGAAAAAAAACAAATCAACATAGAAATATAATATGCAAGAAAGCTCAAAAATACAATGTACGTACATACCAGCCAATTTGATGAGATGATTTTCCGAAAACCCTACAATAGAAATAAAAAGAATTAAAACAAACAAATATTATAATAGAGTTTGTTAAAGACGAGACAATAAAAAAAATAAACAAATTATGTAAACTGCACTTTATTAAAGACAACACGATATGGATTGTTGCACCTATAATACACAAAACATCAGAAACCTAACGTAAAATTTTTAACAAACAAATATAGCATCAACTCTTTTGAAGGCGAAAGGGATGTCTAACATTGCCTTTAGGAATTTTTCAGCATGTCCAAGCTTAACGGGTGAATCGTCTTTGTAAGCTTTTAACTTTCGCTCTTCCTCTTTTGTCGGCGCCATTTTCAGTAAGCTCTCAAGAAGTTCAGTCCCAAGTGTATCAGTGTTACCTGAAAATGCATAACCAAGAACAAGAATTTAACACCAAGAAGCTTTCAGAATAAGTTCACCATACAGGACATCGAATTTGTAGATCCTACTGTGAGAATATGGATGTGACAGTGTTATTTACCTTCAAGAAGAGCTTCACAGACTTCTTATATAGTGACATTAAGGGCGTGAAGCAAGATCACAATGTTCTGTGCCTTCTTAGGGTCCAAGACTCTGTTTTCTTGGTTTGGGCTTGGGAGAACACATCTTGGAGTTGTATGACTCTGATCTGGTTTAGAGTCTAATGACTTTGCCACAAACAACGTTTCAATCATCTCCTCATCTAATCTGCAAGCACATTGATAATTTTCGATAACCACATTCTCATGAAAGGATATAGTATAAAACAAACTATATTATGATAAACTCACTTGAAAGAGCTTGATCGAATAGAATTTTATTGCTTGCACTTTGTGACCGAATAATCCTGGAGATATACACACACCACAGCGTTAAACCGAAACAAACAATCTAAACCTAAACATAGAAAACAATAGGAGAAAAAGTGACGAACGACAACCATATCCAGCAGTACGACAATGCTTTTTATTTAAAATTTAAGATTGAAAACCAGTGATCAATAATATAGTTTACAACTAACCATCAAACTCTAGGAGATTCCCACGTAATAACCATTCAGAAGTCTCACGATCCCACCCAAAACCACAGCGCAAACATAACTTAGCACCTATAAAATTCAGAGATTTTTAAAAGAATTAGATCTTCAAAAAACCAAATACAAACCAGTTTAGTATATGTAAATTTTAAACATACTAAAACCAATATATACATATAGTTTATAGAATAAAATCAAGAACACCCATAAAATCTGGAGAAACAAATAATGGGTACCTCTAATATCTCTATTATGTGGAAATCAAAACTGTATACCTGAAAATAAAATAAAAATATTATCCAAAAATCTTTTACAACGCTTAAAATATAACTAATATAACACCATAAAATCAAAATAGACGTTGTAACAACTATTCATTCGAGGACTACCAGAAGCTATAGCTTTAAATAAACTGGATTAAAGACACGATCTATCATCAAAATTGATCCTCTTCAGTGAAACCTAAACAAATGAAAACATTTAGGAAAACACGGTTGATTAGAACTTATTATGGTCTTTATATATAATAATAAACAGAAGATATGGATCTTACACAACGGCATGTCAATCAACTCACACACCACCGCAGCTCTAGTCGGAATCACCAAACTATATTCAGAATAGCAAATAGTTAAATACGTAAAAAAGCGAGTAAACATATTAAAGCTTCGAATCAAACCAAAAGTAACAATGCAAGCACGACAGCCGATATGCAAAATTATATAGAAGAAACCTAAACTTAAATTTCAATTAAAAAAACAATGCCAAAAATCTGGAGGTGTCAAAAATATTTATAGCGATCAAAATTTAAGATTGCATCTTTTTCTAGGATTTGTATATACTATGGGCTAAACTAAAATCATAAAAAAACCATAAATTTAAAAAAATCCAGTCAGAAATTTATATAAGCTAACCGAAAATGAATTTACACAAACCAGTCGGTTTTAAATTTTTTCCTATTAGAGGTAAAAGACACATAACCCCTCTGAAGAGAGTTGTGGTGCGTTTCTGACTTCACGTTTAATATACTAGATAAATATAAAACTTCTTATTTAGTAATTATATCTAAATATTTCTGCTACAACATAGTGGAGTTTTGCTATATTATTGATAATTCTTTTGTAACGGCAATGAATTCGATGATTTATTCTTAAAATTTAAGACGAATAAATCAAGAAATAGAAATGTAACGTATATTATTTTACACAAATGTAATAAAAATAAATACTTATGTGTCTCTGTTTCCCTTCTCTCCCTAGTCCCTATATATATTAGATCTATTATGACAAAACAAACAAGATACTTTTTACAACTTGCACATACAAAAGCTGATGATCTCACCTTAAGAAACTAATGAAGATGAGTTTTGATCGTCGTCTGATGGTGAAGATGAAGAAGAAGAAGATTGCTTTCTTCCACATAGTCCAGGTAAAGGCTGTGGCAGCATTGGATTCACCGGAACAGGAAACTTATGAGCAGAACTAACCATTGTTCTCTCGTTAATCATCCCAACTTCTTTGCAGACTCTGTCTACAACTCCAAGAAAGTCTCGAACCACCAAGAATATCCTAAACGGGTGAGCTTCTTCTTTAGCCGAGTTCCCATGGAAATACTCAGTGATCTCTTTCACAAGAGACAACGCTACACTCTCTTGAGCCTGTACTCTGATGATATCTTCCTCAGCTCGTTTCAGAAACGTGTTCATCGACTCCGAAAATCTCTGGTTGTCTTCTGGTGTCGTCGATTGGATTTTGATAGCTTCGTTGATCTTGGCTATGCCTTGTGAAAGCTTTGTGACGTAGCTGCTTAACACTTCTGAGTCCATCACAGCAGCTTTCTTAACGTTACTAAGCTCTGAACATAGGCTTGATACAACTTGGAGTCCGAGTTTCCTGCATTTGATATCGTCTGTCTGCGTATTGCTACCCGAGAGACGCGTGCCTTCCGCTCGGATTATCTCTTGCACAACGAAATGCAAGAGAGTCGTTTTCCCATCTGCGCCTTTGACATCGACGAGCTTGAGAAGCGTGTCGAGCTTAAACGCATGCGCATCGCCTCGGTTTGTCCCAACGTTCATTCGGTTTCCGGTCTTAAGAACCGCTTCAAGAAGCTTCAAGAACATTCTGCTGTTTCTCAGCTCCTCACAAGCAGCCTATTGGAAAATAATGGCGATGAAGTCATTGTGACATAATGGTAAGAAGAGAGACAATAGGTTTGCTATATATATATACCTCAAGAGTCTCAAAAGATTTCTTCAAGTATTCAACCTCGGACTCAAAGTTAGCTACATAGAGCATCGCGTCAACTCTTTTGAAGGCGAAAGGGATGTCTAACATTGCCTTTAGGAATTTTTCAGCATGTCCAAGCTTAACGGGTGAATCGTCTTTGTAAGCTTTTAACTTTCGCTCTTCCTCTTTTGTCGGCGCCATTTTCAGTAAGCTCTCAAGAAGTTCAGTCCCAAGTGTATCAGCGTTACCTGAAAATGCATAACCAAGAACAAGAATTTAACACCAAGAAGCTTTCAGAATAACTTCACCATACAGGACATCGAATTAGTAGATCCTACTGTGAGAATATGGATGTGACAGTATTATTTACCTTCAAGAAGAGCTTCACAGACTTCTTCTATAGTGACGTTAAGGGCGCGAAGCAAGATCGCAATGTTCTGTGCCTTCTTAGGGTCCAAGACTCTGTTTTCTTGGTTTGGGCTTGGGAGAACACATCTTGGAGTTGTATGACTCTGATTTGGTTTAGAGTCTAATGACTTTGCCACAAACAACGTTTCAATCATCTCCTCATCTAATCTGCAAGCACATTGATAATTTTCGATAACCACATTCTCATGAAAGGATATAGTAGAAAACAAACTATATTATGATAAACTCACTTGAAAGAGCTTGATCGAAGATGATCCCAGACCATCTCACGATCGGAACTTGCTCTGACTTTATCCCAATGTAAAGCCTTTAGCTTCGGTTTCGGAGTTTCCTCTGCTGGATCATTGGCAGAGAAAGTCTCCTTTGGAGAAGTCACTGGCTGGTTTTCTGATGGGATCACGAAAGGATGTGAAGGCGGCGTGAGAGAAGGAGGTCGAGAGGGCTTGGGAGTCGCCTGATTCCGTCGTGACCATGACGGAAATGGTGGAGGAGGTGGTGGAGGCGGTGGTGGCACTGGCGAAGCTTCGGTTATAGCAGACGGAGGAGGCTGGAGAATTTGAGATGAGATGTTGGATATCCGTGGGGATACATCTAAGCTATGGCTAAAATCTCTGTCTGGAGAAGATGACAGAGACGATGACGAGGCAGACTGAGAATTCCGTAGAGATGTGACCGGTGACTTGTGAGAAGCTTTATCCGGTGAAGAGCAAACAGATGATGAAGGAGACGACGGCGAACGAGAACGCAATGCGTCTAGCTCTTTAAGGAAACCTTGTCCCGGAGAAGAAAGTAATTGAGATTGCAATCCTTGCCGGAGATTGCTCATGAACGCCGGTAATACCTCCGGAGACTTCGGGAAGCATCGGTATGGTGATGTAGAAGCAGAAGAATGGGAAGGTGATCGCAAGTAAGCTTCTGGTGTATCATTTGGTCGTCGTTCTGGAGAAGTTGAAGCAGATGATACCCTCGTTGATCGTAAACTTCGTGGAGAGTCCTCGAGAGTTTCTTTTTTGTTATCTAATGATCTATCTGGTGAAGTTGTGAGAGATCTAACCGTTGGAGATCTCGAGATTTGGCCTAATCCACCATCGGCGTTTTTCACCGGGCAGAGTCCCGGAGATAAAGAAGCTAAGGACAGTGACGGAGACCTCACAAATCGAAAATCTGTTAACTCCGGGATCTTTGACGGGGATGATTCAGAGCTTCCCGGTGAAGTCTTCAACGGTGGGTCTGCTGCGGAGGTTGCCGTGAACTTGGGTTCGGATCTCTTTGGACTCATTGATGGAGAAATGCTGATGAAGGTCGACCTTCCTGGTGAACCTGAGCTTGATGACGAGCAGGAGATAGTGTCATTGTTCACAGATCTAGGGTTTTGAATCGGAACCGCCGCGAAAACTCTCCGGGACTCGGATCCGACCCGGCTTAACGTCTCGCGCCCACTTGCTGAACCTCTGGGAGAGTAAAACTCTTCTGCTTCCTCCTCTCCTATTGAACCAACCTCTGGATTTAGCCGGAAACTCCGTTTCATGAGAGGAGGAAGAGGCTGAAGATCTGGAGATTCCAGTTTTCTTGAGCTCGAACCATTATTGCTCAGATTACTCGCGGATTGATCCTCAACTCCTCTCTGATTCACCATCGTTCCCAAGTAAAGAAACTCTGAGCTAGTGTTGGTGGAGCTCGTCGTCATCCTCTGCTTACTATTTCTACCCTCAGCATTGCGCCGTACCGGAGGAGCAGCCGGCGGAGGAGGATAAACTCGCCGGCTACTGTCGGTTGTCCACGTCTTGCTATCATCGGGTATGTTACGATCCTGATTCCTTCTTCTTCGCCAGTAGAGCAACGCAATAAGCGCGGCGACTAAAAAGGCGGAGGTCACGGCGGAGATGGCGACGATTAGGAGTTTTCGGGAGTTTTGTGGCGATTTAGTGGCGTGAGGGACGATGAGAGAGGAGATATTCGCCGGGAAAGATGCGAAAGACGCCGGAGAAGGAGGCGGAGGAGATGAAGGGTACAAAGGGAAAAAAGGAGGTGCAGGGGCGTCTGGAGGAGCGGTAGAAGAGAAAGGAAGCTTAGGAAGCGGCGGCGTTTGAGGAGGTGACGGTGGTGGAGAATCTACGGGGAAGAATGGTTCGTGGAGGACTCGACGGTCTGCGAAAACGAGATCGGAGGATGAAGATAAGAAGAGAAAGTTGAAGAATAAGAAGAAGAGCATTGTGTTGTTCTTCTTCTTCCTTCTCTTTTCAATCAACAAGATCTGAGACTGTAGGGACTCTCTCTCTCTTTCTTCCTTTCTGTAATGAAATGTTCTTCTTCTGGATTTTCTCGAGCAAAGATGAGAAAACTTTTGGAGAGTGATGAATCCAGCTAAGATTCTGCTGGTGATGGTCGATCGATCTTCTTCACTCTCTTTTTTTTTTGGGGTTTGGTTTGTCTTTTGTATTTTATTTTAACTTCACCTTTAGTGATAGTGAGAGAGTAAAGAACGCAGAGGCCAAAAGAGGTGATGGAAGGTAGAGAGGGTGGTTAATTATTCTCTTATACGTAGTAGGGCCCGCTTCTCTGACCATGACCAATGATATTATAACACGTGTATAAGACGTGGACTTCTCAGTTTGCTAGCCACGTCAAGTGTACACTGCACATTGCATTGCCCCCGTACGCACATTATCGAATAAATAAAAATGCGAGTTGATTTGTTATTTTAGACTTGCTTTTCCAAAAGTTTTTCTTATATATTATTTCTTACGGCGGATAATCAAATGACTATGAAAGAAAGAAAGAAAAATTTATGGATTTTAAATATAAAATAATACTATGTGTTACTGTTTTAGGAAGTGGGTGTGTTGTGCGAATTATTTTATTTTCTTTTACCGACACTTCTCTAAAATGGTCGGTTCGTGTTTTTCTTCCACATGCTGTATACAAAACTTGGATTAAATATTATGACATCCGTAATGAACACTAGATAAATTTCAGCAAAAAGAATGTAAAACTGAATATTTTTAGAGAGATTTTTCTAAACTAATTCCGTAAAATATTCATAAACCAATATTTTCTTACTTTTCTAGAAAATTTTACTTCTATAATTATTTTTTAATACCACAAATTTTATCATTATAAAAACATTTTTAAAAATTTAACAACGAAAGTCTAAATAAATTAGGCACTCACTTTCGACTATCATAACTTCATAAGTGTATAATAAATGTTACTTGCACTCATATGTCATAATTATTATAAATTCTTTCACATTAAGATCTTAATATTAGTATAATTTTACTATTAAAACCTAATTTTTTTGTTAGTAAAAATATGTAAATAGCTATTTGTATTTATTGCACTTTTAAAAAGTTTAATTTTTATTTCTTTGTTACGTTTTATTTGGACAATAACAAATCAAGATTCGATACAAAGCGATCACGTTTGACATGTAATTATTATTAAAAATAGATGATGAAGAAGAAAACGAGCACTATTACATGTTAGAGATGAAATTCATACCATTTCTAACAAGCTTGATATGAATTCTGGTCGGTCCGTCTAACAAGTTTTAGATCGGTGATATAAATGAAAATCTTCCATTTAACGAGTGATTCGGGAAAAAAGGAAACTCTTTCTTATCGGCAAGAAGATTTTCCTATTTTTAACACGTTGAAGACTGACCTAGTCAGCTATAAATATAGGAAGTCTTCGACTCCTCAAAGGCATTCAAAAATCATCTATCAAGACCTAGAGCAAACTAAGCGATCAGATTGTTCTAGCTTTTAGTTAAACTTATCTAAAGAGTTTTAGGTCAGCGTTCTTATTCCGACGACCTAAACACCGTTGTATTTTACCAAGCTCCGGCTTCTTCTAATAAAAGATCTCTTTTTTAAACCCTCAAACCTTAGTTCTTTTATAAGTCAAATTTGAGTTTTTACAGTTGGCGCCGATTGTGGGGACTAAGAGAGTAATCTTTGACTACGAACGAAGCTCGAAAATGGTTGAAACACCGATCAACACTACCGACCTCACAGGAGGAGCCTCCGATCCGACAAGAAACACCCAGGATCCGATTGTCGACCCAGCCACCGGGCTTCCGGTGGCCCACAAGACCTATCAGGAAGACAACACAACTACCGCACAGAACACCGGGGGGACAGATCAGGTTGGTCAGACGGGAGGCACAAACACGACCGGCCTGCCACAGCCACCTCCCATCGACATGGCCACCATCATCAGGTCGGTCGCAGCACAGTTGCAGCAGGGGATGGATGCTCGCTTCGAATCCCTCCGTGCCGAGCAGATCGCTTACAGAGAAGACCTAGATCGGCTTCTCAACTCTAGAGTTCATACCCAAGAGCAGACCGATCTTATCACCCCCCCTCGCCCTCTGATCCGCAACACAGATACGACCAGACTGGTTAACAACCTGTTCGGCACAACACCGACGGACGACTTGCGGAGAGCACAAGCAGAAGGCTTGAATGCCCGCTCATCCCGCAATACCACAGGAACCGACCCGACGACGACTTCAGAACTCGATCTTCTTCACCAACGCCTTGATGATATCCACAGCAAGATCCACAAGGCGAAGACTTCAGCACCCGAATTGGATAAGATCCTTCAGGAGATGCAGCAAACCCCATTTACGTCGGCTATCACCAGTGCTCCTCTTAAGGACATAGGTCGGATGAAGCTACCTCCGAGTTACTTCGGCACGACAGACCCGAAGCGATATCTGACCGCATTTAACGCAGTCATGGGATGTGCTCGCTTCACCGATGAGGAGCAGGAAGCATGCCTCTATCAGTACTTCGTGGAGACGCTCTCCGGAAGCGCCCTCACCTGGTTCTCGCAGCTTCCCAAGAACTCCATCGATAGCTTCAAGGAGCTCACAGCTCGGTTCCTGAAGCATTATTCGATATACATCGACACGGAGTCCACAGCGCTCGATCTATGGGCATGCGTCCAGGGCGACACAGAGCCGCTGTGCGATTTTATCGATCGATTCCGATCAATCGTCTCTCGGTGCAGTCTATCGGACGAACTGTGTTTCAACATTCTTATCAAGAATTTGAGGGATGATTCATCGTATTGCGAGCGATTGAAGACGGGAAAAACCAAAACCCTCGAAGATGTTTTGCACAAGGCATCCGGCTACATCAGAGTCGAGGAGGATCGGGCAGCCAAGTTGGCCAATGAGAAATCTTCGCGCGATAAGAAAGGCAGATCGTCGAGTCAGGACGATTACAAAGAGCCCCGTCAGCACTACGACAAGGATGACAAGAATCGCAAGAGCATCAACGCAGTTGGACGACCAAAAAAGTCATGGAACGTGTGGGACCGCTCGAGCGACAGAGACCCCGACAGCAAGAAGTCGTGGTGCAAATACCATAGAGCACACGGTCATCATACCGATGATTTCCGCACCCTCCCAGCCCTCTTGAGGAAGGTGTGGGATGATGGTGAGATCACCCTACCAGAACCCCGAAGTTCACGACGATCCGACGATGAGGACAGGCCACCCGATGGCGATCGCGACAGAAGAACCAGCGACGATCGTGATAGAAGAGATAACACCGATCGCTCTTCTAAACGCGAGGGCAAGGAAGCAAAGTGTGACCATGAAGACGATCACACACCTCCAAGCTCACCATGTCGGCGGATCAACATAATCATGGGGGGGCTCCTCTCGTGCACCGACTCGATAAATTCAATTAAACGGTACGAACGGAAAGCAGCCAACCCCCAGAAGGAAGCCCCACCGCTGTTCAAGGATGACCTACCGATCACATTCACAGAGCAAGACGCGCAGGACATAGACCGACCTCATAACGATCTACTCGTCATCTCACTACGACTCGGAGAAGACAACGTCTCCAAAGTGTTGATCGACACTGGAAGCTCGGTCGACCTCATCTTCATGGATACTCTACGCAAGATGAGTATCCTGGAATGGGACATCAAAGTCGCACCATCACCCCTCACTGGATTCGTTGGAGACTTGATCTCGACGATAGGAACGATAACGATGCCTGTCACCATACGCGGGAAGTCAATTACGGTCAAGTTCGAGGTTATCGATCGACCTGCGATCTACAATGCCATCCTTGGAACACCATGGCTGAATTCCATGCGGGCCGTCCCTTCTCCTTACCATCAATGCATCAAGATACCGATCAGGGGCCGTGTCATCACCATCCGTGGCGACCAGACAGTGTCCCGACATTGTTACATTGATAACAAGCGCGCCCGCAAAGCATCAACGTTCGTGATCGGCAGTAGTAGCAATTTTGATCCACGGATTGTTCATCACGACGAGCAGCCGAAGAGCGATCTTATCGCCCAAGTCAACATCGATGCTGCCCACCCGGAACGTTACGTCGGTATCAGCACGGAACTGTTGCCTAGCATGCAGGACGAGCTGATCAGTTTCCTCTGAGAGAACGTCACAACGTTTGCGTGGTCCATGGCCGACATGAAGAGCATTAACCCCCGAATAACGAGTCACAAATTGAACGTCGACCCGACTTTCAAGCCGATCAAGCAGAAGCGACGAAAGCTAGGACCTGAGCGATCACAAGCCGTCCACGATGAAGTAGATAAGCTCCTGAAGGCTGGATCAATCGCCGAAGTGAAGTATCCGGATTGGCTCGCCAACCCGGTGGTCGTCAAAAAGAAAAACGGCAAGTGGCGAGTCTGCGTGGATTTCACCGACCTCAACAAAGCTTATCCGAAGGACAGTTTCCATCTTCCTCGTATCGATCAGCTCGTCGAGGCTACGGCGGGCAACGAGCTACTCTCCTTTATGGATGCATTCTCAGGATATAATCAGATTCTCATGAATTCGGACGACAGCGAGAAGACCGCATTCATCACAGATCGGGGAATCTATTGCTACAAGGTCATGCCGTTTGGTTTGAAAAACGCAGGAGCCACTTACCAGCGCCTTGTCAACAAGATGTTCGCCGACCAGCTTGGGAAGACGATGGAGGAGTATATAGACGATATGCTCGTCAAATCAGCTAAAGCAGCCGACCATATCATCCATCTACGAGAATGCTTTCTCATACTGAACCAGTATGGCATGAAACTCAATCCCGTAAAATGCACCTTCGCAATCACATCCGGCGAATTTCTAGGATACCTGGTCACTCAGCGTGGCATCGAAGCCAATCCTAAGCAGATCTCCGCGATCTTGGAGCTACCCTCGCCAAGTAACACTCGCGAAGTTCAGCGCCTAACAGGAAGAATAGCTGCGCTGAACAGATTCATATCCCGATCCACAGACAAGTGTCTTCCCTTCTACCAACTCCTACGAGGCAACAAGCGATTCGAATGGGACGAAAAATATGAAGACGCGTTCGTGCAGCTCAAAACCTAGCTCTCGACACCGCCAAATCTGAGTACGGCGACACTCTGCTACTCTACATTGCAGTCTCCAGCGCGGCAATCAGCGGAGTCCTGGTTCGAGAGGACCGTGGGGAGCAAAAGCCGATCTTCTACTTCAGCAAAACCTTGGATGGTGCTGAAACTCGCTACCCGACCTTGGAAAAACTCGCTCTTGCTGTTGTCG